CTGTTTGATTTTGTGTTGTTAGTTTCAGAAAAAGTAAAAACCAATATGGGTAGGCATATTTTAGGCCTGGAATTCAATGAAGACGTGGAAAAAATTGCAAAAATCCGTATGTTAAGAAGTTTTCGAGGCAAAAAATAGCCCTTTAATTTGTAAGATAACGTTTTCATTCAGCTTTTTTCGTTGTCCAGGCATATTTTCCATAATAGGGCTCAAATATTTATGATTTAATAAACAAATTAATAAAACTTTTTAATTTTTTTTTGCACCGTCTTCCATTTCGATGTGAATATTTTTCTTTTTACTCTATCAACTAGCAAATGTAATTTGACATGGACGAAAAAAGCAGTGCTGCCAAATTTTTTTTAAACATTGTAACCAGTTCGTCAGAAAACCAAATTCAATTTCGGGTGTTAAAAAAAGTAACAAAATTTACTTTACTGGTAACAGTGAGAATAGGCCTGTTAATGGAAGATTTTGCCTTAGTATCCTTGTTTGCGGGCTCACAAAATCTAGCTCGTTCAAGAATTGAAGATGAACGACCGCCAAGCATAGCACACTTTCGGTGAATGAGCCCAAAACGGTTGGTGCCCATCTCCTAAATTTTATAAGAAAATTTTTTCTTTTGGTTGAATTAATACGTTACTAAACAAAATTGTCGTATTTGGAGTCGTGAATATTATTTCAGAAAGAAACTGTTTGGTGCTTTCTATGGGCGGCTGAAATTATTGGTCCATATTTCTTCAAAAAATTAATCCGGCCGTAGCGTTACAGTCAAAGAAAAAGGCCGTAGATTATTGATTAATAACTTTTTTTTAACTTAAATTGGTTGATGTCGATATTTAAGACCACTGGTTCCATCGAGCTGCTCTACATTCCATGCAATCAAGTAAAAAATCGATTTATTGAAGGAAACTTTTTGTGAAAGCATATTTCTGATTGAAAACCACAGGTATAGAACGCGACCCCTTTATTTATATATGTGCTTGTGTCAATTCCATACTAAAGATAAGAGTATTTCATGCGGTGGCCTTCATATGTAGAGGAACTGAGTCAACATTAAATTAGATAAATTGCCGAATTTCAACGAAATCGATTTAGACTGTCTCCATACATAATGTATGAATTGAATTGAAAAGGAAGAAATAAATAGAAAAAAATGCCATAGAAATTTCAGTGCAATTCTATGATAGGCCCCGGCGAGATTCGAACTCACGATCTCCTGTTTACTAGACAGGCGCTTTAACCAACTAAGCCACGGCGCCATGCTGCCGAATATCGGGCGCAGAAAAAACACAAACGCACCAATGAAAAAAGCATAAAGACAATAAGAACTTAAAATGTAGAAAAAGTGTTGGTAAAATATTTATATATATGTACATACGTGTATGCATGAATAAACTTAAATACACACCTACGATCAAATTAATTAGAGCGCAAATAAGAAGTATAATTCAGAGCATTGTGAGCACGATAGTTTAACAGTAAATAATATAGTTTTATTAAAATTCGTAAGGAAGTCAAATAAATAAATACGAATAACACTGTTAAATAAAATTTAATAAAAACATTTATTTTCAGAATGTAAGACATAAAAAGTATACTTAGAAAAATTTGATTGCTTAAGATTTTCGTAAATTTTAGGCTTTGGTAGGTGCCTTCTGCGTTACCAACAATAATCTACTAGCATTTCTGAACTTCATTAACCTTCTAAACGCTTTTCCATTAAGGAAATGTCCGAATGGACCTCTCGTCTTCTTCGTCACTTACGGGCCGTTCCCATTGAGAGTTCAGCATATGCATTTTTAATAATATCAGGTGTACAACTTTGCTTCCGCCGTTTACCGATAGGTGACTGTACCGGCCGAGGTTGAGTTATACAATACAACACAAAAGTTTTATATGGCATAATAAGTTTATTTAATAATTCATTATAATTTTCTGATTTATGGCTCACAAGAAAGTTCTGGCTAACATTTACAAAACAGTGTATCGCACCTTTTAACCTTTTGAGATACGAAGAGAGGCTAGACAAAACGGCTCTGAGAAGTCTCACGCGCGTTACACAGCATAAACGTCGCGTCAACGACCTCTGTAAGGAGATTCTTATTCGCAACGCCACAAACAATGTTTAAAAGGCAGACAGAAATCACAACAGGAAATGTAGAAGTACAGAGCTTTGGTCGTATGTAGAGTTTATGCTAACATTATGAGCTCGGTGACGTCTATGTCAAACCATTTGATTGCTTTAATAATTTGAATTAAAAATATAACTAAACAATAATACAATACAAAAATATAATAGTTTTATATTATTAAAAAAAAAATAATAATCACAAACAAACTTGCCAGTGATGATTCATTGATTTCAACCGTTATCACGTAGTCGTATTGGGATAATTTTTCCTGTAATAGAAGATTATTGAAAAAATAAAAAACAGATAGAAAAGAGCCAAAAAATAGGTGTGGTTTATTGCGAATGCGAGATTACAAAAAAAGTAATAAGAAATGAAGTATGTTTTAATTAGTAAATTAGGACCCCAAAAAAAAACCCTTTTTTTAATAAATTAAATTGCCGAAAAAAGCAAAAAATAATATAAAATTGTATTTACCTTAAAAAAAAATTCTTAAACAAGTTTAACTTAATAATATTGAATCGGCGCTTAACATTACATGAATAGAGATCATTAAATTATCTTGAATTTAATTAAATAAACAAATGAACATAACCGATCCGTGATCCGTGGAATCTATAGCGATAAACCAAAAAAAAAAACCAATGCGAATTGGCTATGTTGGCTTGTCTTACGTACATTAAATTTTCCGTACAGCAAGTGTTTACAGCAAATCTACATTTGGTTAGTTATTTTCTCTTTTGACAGGTCTCACATGTACATACGTACTTTACAGAACAGAACAGAGATGCTCAACTAACGAAACAATGTCATTTTGTTTTGTTAATATAAAGATAAACTTAACGAAATGATTTTGTTTCGTTTCGGCGTCATGTTATCGAAACGAAATTGAATTGTGAATGTTGACACCGCAAAAACGTATTGTAAACGTAAATTTTATTTATTTGATATATAATTATAAATAATTACAATACAAGATTAAGGCAACTAGCAACGATGGCTATCGGCCTGTTAATATTAAAATGGCTAATTGCTATGATATTAACAGAATGCCTCAATTTTAACATTTAACATTATCTGTTAACAATTTAATTTTTCTAAATGTATTAACCCAAACAATTGAAATTTTTTGTTTTACGTGAAATTTATCGTAAGGATGCAGCTTTGCTTTATAAGACACTGAGGGGGAATGTTTAAAATACTCCCACCCTGACCCGCTCTACCTTCGGGTTACTGTCTCGCTTAACTTCGTGAACGATTGATATTTTCAGGCGAGGCACCGTATCACGACTAGTGGACGCCGTGCATAGTGCTTCACATACACATATACATAGGTCATTAATTATCTTCCAATTAATTAATTAAATTGTTGTCTGCGGCGCTGCGACTGAAAATTATTAACATACAGTTACTACATTAGAACTTATTTATTGGGACTAAATAAATTATTTATAATGTTTCTTTTCAAGCTTTCTGATGATTTCCTTGTTTTTAAAAAGTTTTTTTTTTTAAGGATTATCAAAACATATGGAACTCTTTTGCTTATTTATGTATTTACATAAGTATGCGTTGATAAACATAAACAGTTTCAATGAAAGAATGACTCAAAGAAGATATTTGATAATATTTTGCCAAAGGGTAATATAACGGATTTTGGTGTTATAGGCAAATTTTGAAAGTCTTCGGTAAAATAAAAAAAACTTAACCCTTGTTGCATTCCTTACTGGTCACTCCGGAAGAGCTACACTTTGACTTATAATAATTCAAGAGGTTGTAGTGCCACGATTTTCACTACTATACTGCCGCAGATGCAAGCTTGCATCGTCCAAGCGTCAGGTTTTTGGACCTTTGGATTTTAATTTAAATTACACACATAATTGCGTGGTTTTTGCTGGATATACAAAATGTTGTGGGAGTTTGGGTTTCACCAATCAGTTTTAGGTTAGGAATTGTGGTAACTTTTTATTCTGTGAGGTTTTAACGACTGCAACCGAATGAGAGCGACGACGGTTATTTTCCTTACTTAACAATTTCTTTGTATTTTTTATTGTATGAGCCCTTTGATTTGTACTCAGTTTGGTTTGGAAATAGTGTAAATTTATTACGAAAATAATGATCCGATTCTCACATCGCAGCGTACGGATATTTTGTTCCGAGATGTAGCTCACTATTGGTTGAATGGGTCAATGGTCTAATGAGCAGAAGTTGCGGGCAAGAAATGGACCGGGAAACCCTTAATGCACTTCCTGTGCAAATGCACCGCAATTTGTAGGTTGAAGCTTCTTGGGGCTGTAACCTTTAAAGACTTAAGCAGGTAACGCGGAAAAAGACACGACAATTGCTCAGTTTTGCAAACTCCACCAATCATTGGTTCAACAAGCGGGTGGGGATCATTAGGATCCTTAGTGGTATCACAATAAGCACTTCAAGCTACCTCCATTAACCTAGATTATTGACATTTCTGTTGTTAGTAAACATAAATTTGACACATTTTTTGGCCAAATTCGGGGGCTTAGTAACACGAATTTGATAAACTTGTATCCCATGAGCTTTTGAAAGCATAAATGCGGTAATATTCGTAGCCATGTCTACATTTCAATCAGACTTATTCGTATTTTTTCTTAACAAGATAACACTGGTTTCCAATTCTCTAAAAAAAAAATAAGATAACCGTAAATCTGAACTACGGTTTGGCCAGAACTTTGCTTTACCTTATTTTTGTGTTCTCCTTTGCATACTTATTCATTTAAATATCAATATTTCTTCTTTCCACCATTCGCTACAGGAATAGAAAAAATATATTTATGTATATATATATATGTAAGTGTGTATTATATATAAATAAAGCGGAATTGCCTGGGAGGAGAAATGAAGAAAGAAACAAAGATACAGAGGCAACATAACATCAGACAAGTTTCCTAAAGAAGGAACTAAGTAGAAGAAAATCTTCATATTAAAGTTTTTAAAATTTTTCTTACAATTTGACACATACTTAGTACATATATACCCAGATTTGAATAAAATTATGGAATTCGAAGGCATTGGTGCATTGAATCCCGGCAACGGCAATAATATTCGGGTTCAGGCAACGAAAACAGTTTTGGAAGGAAACAGCATTATAACATTCGGTGCTTTTCTCACTGGTCACACGGCGGAAGATAATGGTAACATTGGTGGTTTCGTAAAGATTGCTAGGTGTGTAAAACAAATGAATTGTTTAATAAAAAAAAAATACTCTTATACAATTACTTATTTCAGCGATATGTGGACCGTAGCATTGCAAGCCACGACTGGTATGCGTAGTTTCAAAGCAACGTCGCTTTCTTTCGAAAAAAATATTTTCATGAATAAATCATTTATTGTGGACGCCTACGGCATGTTCTCAAACTCAGTGGTAGATCCTTTTTTGGATTTACAAACTTATCACGCTGGCTTGACATGCACTCATATTTTTGGTCATGGTATAACGGTAAATGGTTTTCATGTGCCAACCACTCGGTTAAGCGGCATTGGCGCCGTAGCCAAGGTAAACCTTTGGACCACAGAAGAAACTCAATTGTACTTTACAGCCAAGCTGTCACGTACTTTTCCTGCTGAATCTGCCAGTACCACAACTTTTGGTTACGGCATCTCACTTGGTCTTAACTTCTAGATCCTAAACGCATATATATTTAAATATAAATGTGGTTTTAGGTGTTAAAAAAGGGTTAATACAAGTAAATGTCTGTTGGAATTTTTTGCTTTTGTTGTAAAGAATTTCGAACAGAATATTTAAATAAATTGTATGTAATGTATCTCCTCTTATGTCAGTAATTATATGTGTACTATTTTAACTATTTCATGTTTATTTAAATATATTTATGTGGCTTTTATCAAAACGCTTCAAACAGTCTTTTCAATTGCGAATTTGGGGCATATAAGGTCCCGTCGAGCATATTGCGTGTAAAACTACAACCCACCGTCAACAAACTGATTGGACCTTATCAGAGTGGATTTAGACCTTGTAAATCAATCATTGACCAGAGGTTCGCCATGCGCAAAATGCAAAAGACCCGTGAAAAGAGGCTCGTCACACACCACCTTTTCATTGAGATCAAAGCAGTCTTCGGCAGCATGAAAAGGAGCTATCTCTACACCACTATTTAATATCCCAGCAAAACTTATACGGTTGTGTAAGCTGAAACGCAGTTAGAATTGGTAAGACTCCGAGCCGTTCCATGCGATATTGAGAAAACTTATTCCACAGTAGATGGTGCAGATTGTAATCGGGCAGAACACACTTTGAGTTCCCGTATTTTAGCAGGCTATCATCCGAAAATATTATGCAAAAAAGCTGAGGCATGTACCTTGCCAGCTCTCTGCCGGCTTATTTTAAAAGCTCGGCCGGCAGCATATTCGTTTCCGCCGGGGTTTTCAGCCGAAAAACTGCATTTCGAACATTTTCATAGCCGCGAAAAGAAGCACATGTTCAGATAATCCAGTTCGTCATCTCCGGGTGTTTCATTTTCACTGCCATTTAGCAGACTGGAGAAGTGTTCTAACCATAAATTCAATATACACTAACCATTACACGATGGATCACCTTTCTGGGACCTAAAAATCGTTCACATTGGTCGTCATCTAAAGTAGGGTTTCTCATCCGAGGTATTGTTAACTTTTTCATTGGAGCTCTTTTCTCCTTGACGGGTCCCAAACGCACAAGTTTAAGTTTCATTTTAGACCACTTTTGTATAAGGAGTCGTTAGCTTTAAGACCGATGCTAGCTCCCAGCCGCACCTTCGTGACCCAAGACTCCACACGGGTTGGCTACCGCATCTTACACAAGGGCTGCTCAAGTTTCCAGGGTGCACGACGAGGGCATAAGAGTACGAATCAAATATAGCCATGCGATTGTAACTGGATATGCAGAAAGAAGACCCCACTCCATTAGACCCCAGAGCTTACGTCGTTGTTTAAAGAAAAAACTGAGGTCATAGCGTTCGATTTTTAACTCTATCACATAGATATGCTGAGCCATACTCGTATTATTCTCGACTCATGCATTGCTATTTTATGCATTTATTGTAATTTTATTCTCAATACTGAATTTGGAGACAAACTTCGGAATCTACGAATCGCTGCTGAGTTGCAACAAAATGGACGCATTTCTTAAGCAGTTAGTGACTGGCGATGAAATGTGAGCGGTGAGCCGGCGGAAACGGTGGCCAAACCTGGATGGACGACCACAGAGGTTTTGCTGCGTGTTTGGTGAGATTGGCAGGAAATTATCTATTATGAGCTGCTCCCATACGGCAGAACTCTTAACTCGCAGTTGTACCGTCTGAAGGAAGCAATCGCCCAGAAGCGGCCAGCTTTGGGCACTAAGAGAGGAATTGTGTTTCACCAGGGCAATGCCAGGCTATACATATCGATAGTGACTCGCCAGATGCTCAGTGAGCATTGTTGGGAGGTTCTTATGCATCCACCTAATAGTCCGGACTTGGCACCAAGTGATTACCATCTGTTCCTGTCCATGGCGAACAATTTTGATGGTGAAAATTTTGCTTCAAGGGAGGTTCGTGAAAATCGACTGTCTCAACTTTTGCCAATAGGAACGAGGGCTTCTATGAGAGAGAAATAATAAAATTACTTTTAAAATGGTAGCAAATTATCGCACAGAACGTTGCATGTTTGACCCAAATAGGATCATTCCAACTATGGAAATTGAAGCCTTCAATTTCTCCCAAAAATAATGGATTTCTATTTACTACACTTGATATGAATGATGAAAGTTAGAGAAAAATAGAAATTGAAGAAAGAGAGATATAGGGAACGAAGAAAAAGCAGTTCATAAGTAAATTTAACATTTAATTGAATAAACAACGGAACCAAATTTTTAAATAAGAAGTTTTGACTATTTTTTTCTTTTGCAAAAAATATTTGTTTTAAACTCTTTACATAAATAAAGCAATGGAATGCGATATTATTGGTTCAACAAATCCAGGAATTGTAAATAATCTCCGAGTTCAACTAACGAAAACTTTTTTGAGAAACAACAAATTTATAACACTTGGCACTTTTTTCGCTGCTGACGCTATCGAATGGGAGGGTAACATAGGTGCCTTTTGTAAAGTAATTGGGTAAGCACGAAAATGGAATTAAATTTTGAACTACATGTCTTTGGATTAAATTCAATATTTTCCACCGATTCAGGGAGAGCATGATTTTCTCAACGCAAGTCACATCAGGTGCGAATCTCTTTCAATCGATTTCGATTGGCCTGGAAAAAAGTCTTTTCCAAAATACAACGCATGATTTGAACATTTATGGCTTGATTTCCAGTGCAGAAGTGGAAGAAATTTTTCGATTCAATTCTTGTCACATCGGATTAGATTACAATGATTCTAACGGTCATGGCGTAAAAGTGGGATTTTCTTTTCTACCAATACCATTTAATACTTGCCTTAGTGTGGCAGTCAGAATCAATCTATGGACCTCAGTCAATAGTGCGACGTCTCTTGACTTTTCAATAAACGCAAGACGCGTGTTTGCTGGCTTTTTCCCCGCAATGAATGTGTTCAGTTGCGGTTTGGGGTTTAGTCACAATTTTTAGATTCCAAGTTCTTTTATACCTGCGGATAAATGAATGTTTGGGATTTGCAAGAGTGCATCAGAAAGTATGTGTGTATGTGTGTATACTTACAAAAAGTAATTTTAAAGAAATAATTATTGTTATATTTGTTCGTATGTTTTACTTTTATTAATTTTTGTATTGTATGTCAGTCTGATTATATATGTGTATGTATGTATACTTTTAAATTGTAAATATATCATATTGAAATAAATAAGTAATAATAAAATGAGAGAGCGAAAGTATCTAAAAATCATTAGAGATCTTCTTGGCAGCGCGATGAATTCACTTCTTCACCCCAACATACCCAACGTATGCCCTGCATGTGGAGAGTCTCCACACGACACTAACCACCTCTTCACATGCCCTCTCAAATCAACTCATCTAACCCCCCTCTCCCTCTGGTCCATCCGCGTCGAAACAGCTCGTTTCCTGGACTTCCCACTAGATAACCTCGGCGACTTAGACTGAGAAAACCTGTGCCAAAGCAGGGTTAGCGAACCGCTACAACAATAACAACATCTTCACAGAAGTCAAAAGTGAAAATATCTCTTAATAATTTTTTGTAAAAAGTATTGTGTTAATGATAATATCGAACACCCTTATGTGTATACATATCTATACCCTACAGATCAAACGTACATCTTCTTCTATTTCACTGGCGTAGGCTCTGCTTACACGTTTGTAGCCGATATTTCCCACGGATCAGAGATCTTCCTATGCTTCCACCGGCGGAGACTCCATCGAAATTCACATAACGTAGCCAGTGCAGCCCCTTGATTCTTGATTCACTGAACTCGTATATCAAGGTTGCCGTGTATATTGCACAGCTCATCGTTCTAACGACTGCGGCAGTTGCGGATTCGTAAAGGACCACAAATCTTACGTAAAAATGAAATATTGTCACTGACCACGCCTTCTCACCATATATCAGCACGGGAATAATGTGGGTCTTGTAGAGTCTAATTTTTGTACGTCGAGAGAGGGGTATACTTTTCAATAGGCTACTTAGTTCAAAGTAGTACTTATTGGCAAGAGAGAGATTCTACATGGATTTCACGACTGCCAGTGTTGTTGGTGTCAATGCTGTCTTCAAGATAGACGAAATTATCTACAACTTCAATATTATGGCTATCAACATTGACGGGAAAATTGGGTCGCCAATGCAATGAAGGTTTGTTTGCTGACAGCAGATATTTTTTCTTGTTCTCCTATGCGCTTCGCATTCTGAAGCAGACTGGAAAAGCAGACTTTACGGCTGGTTTTTGAAGCCAGCATTTAGCTCTCTACGAGATTATTGTCTTAAGCAATAGATTACAGAACTCACATGATAAGTAGTCACCTTGTCAAAAACCTAGTTTGACATCGAACGGCTCGGAGATGTCCTTTTCGATCCTCATGAAGCTTTTGGTATTTCTCAATGACAATTTGCACAGTCGTATCATTTATCAGAAGAGACTAAATTCAGACATAGTGGCGTAGAAGCAAACTCTTTTTGTGTCGAAGGCACTTTTCCACGAATTCGCGCATGATGAGGATCTGGTCACTGGTGGATTAAAGCTACACTGTACTTTCAATAGTACCTTGTATGCGATATTGACCACACATACTCGTATGTATGTATATTATTATAATTTGTAAGTATGATGTCAGCAAAACAGCAGCTTCTTGTCAAAATTAACTTTGATCAATTCAAACAGTGTTAGATTTGAATCATAGTCATAAAATTATTTTATACCCACACATGCTTTTTTTCAACCAAAATTTTTACAATGAACACAAAAATTATATTTCAGATTCTTTCACGGACTCTTCACTAAGCCACGGATGCCATTAACCTTAAAAAATTTAAAGCTGAGAGCTTGGCCTCACGAACCATTATTGACCTGGGACACTATGGGCCCTAAACTGTATTTCACCCTTTACATTGGTGGGACAGTAAATAAAGCCAAGGGTATATTGGCATACGTAAAACGGTGGTCAAGGAATTCCAGAACACATTGAAAATAAAGTTTTAGATTTTCAATATTGGCAAAGATTATTCGGCTCGTTAATTTTGAGTCCGACGTATCAAATCTGCTCTGATGAAATAGAATCCTCCCTACTCTTCCTAGTCATAGGCAAATGCTCTAGTCAATGTAGTCCATTCGAAAGGTCAGGGTCGGAGTCCTGGTCAGACCAACGCGCAAAATAATGGAAAATAAATTTTTCTGATTGCGGTCGCCCCATAGCCCCTCAGCAGGGAATGACATGTCCTACGAGTGTATTATGAAATAAAAATCGGAAGCGGCTTAAAAGCGGTAAAAAACATAAGGTCGCAGATCACATATTGGTGGGGGTAGAGAAAATAAGCCTATATGTAGGAAGCTTTTATTTAAATTAGGAATCTTTGCAAAATGGTCTGCTGAAATATAAAAAACGTCGTTCTATACAACTGGTCCGCCTTAATGTATGTATGTATGTACATAAATGTGTTTAGTGAAAAACTGATGCGGTAAACAGTTTTTGTGAAGACCGTTGAAAAGGAAACAAGAAAATCACGGATGCTTTTGGATACATATGTATGTTCATATGTAGTTTTGGTGTATGTATATATTTATATATATCTACTAAAAAAAGACTATGGACATCTATGGTATTGACACCTCAAAACCGAGTAAAGGGAATAATTTTCGCTTGCACATATCGAAAAAATTTTTGAAAGAAACCGATTACAGCATAACTCCAGGTTTTTATGTTGCTTTTAATGCTGATAAAAGACCCTCAAGTTATGGTGTCTTTGCAAAATATCGGCCGTGAGTAAATATTAAAAAAAAAAATTGCAATTTCTAATGAAGAAAAAAACAAAATTAACTAATAAATTATTTACATAATTTAGCATCAGCGAGGGACTCTCTTTATCCATTAAAACTTCAAAAATGTTTAGCATTTGCCGAACAACAGTATTTCACGTTAAAAATAATTTATTCAGGGATAATAACCATACCGTAAATGCTTGCATAAGAGTGTCGAAGACAAAGATGAAAGATGGGTATTGTTATAATGGGTTTACCCTTGGTCTGAGCTATAATCACGCTCAGGGATATGGTGTAAAAGTGTCTACCTCTCGTTTCTGGAAATTTAATTTTACGTTTATTGATGTGGTAGCCAAGGTGAATCTCTGGAAATCACCCAATACGGCAATGACTTTGGACTTTAGCGCTAAAGCTACGCGATACTTGAGTGGCTACTATGCCGGAGTTAATAAATTTACATTTGGTATTGGATTTAACCAAAATTTTTAGTCATTATGCTTGCTTGCATTGAGATATTTAATAATTTAATTTTATTGAGTCAAAAAAAGTGTTTGTTTTATGTATTAATTTTTATATAATTTGGAAGAATTAATTTTCCTTTTAATATTTGGCTTGTAAAAGTTCTCCGTGTTCTTCATGGCTTTTTAAAGCTTGTATTATTTTCTATGAATCTAATTTCTTTAAATATTAATCGATTTAATTTAGATTTAAAAATACGGCAAGAAATATAAAACCTGCAAACTCAACTATTATTAATTGAAATTATATTATTATTGTTTCATGGTGCTTTTAGTATCGACAGTTAAAAATTTCAAAACCAAACAATTTAGAACCCGAAAAATCAGAAAGAAACTTAACTTAGGGCATACAGGTGAGTCTCACTGATCAGGCAAGTGCTTAGTCTTCTGCATATGAATCTGCTAACTGCCTGGTGTTACGTCTCCGAAGAGCCGAAGGATTTTTTGTGAGCCGCATTTATTTCATATCAGAATTCCAATAGAAGGGTTTGATATTTGTTCGTATTCTCTAATCCCGAAATGTAAAGGCAACACGGAAAATTATTTGAAGGACTTTTTATTTAAAAAAAAAACAAACCTCAAATTTAGTACACAAATGGTATAATGAACAATATTAAAATATGCATAAGTATTTACTTAAACAATAAATATTGCACTTAAAACGTTTGTAAAAATTTAGTTAAAATGTAAAAAATAAATAAATATTTAAAACATTAGTTCCCCAAAATTTTAACCACAGAAATTAAAATTTATAACATTACTCTTTTCATACATTTTCCCCGACACTTAAAAACCTTTTAACATTATCAGTTAAATGATTTAAGTATCTAGAGGTGTTGGATAAATCCTATACCAGCAGAGAAGCTGTTCAATCCTGCATATTGGCCTCTCACATAACGTGCAGCACTCACGGTAAAGTCCAGCGAGGATCTATTATCCTCTGTCCTAAAGAGATTCATCTTGGCCGCCACATCAATTGCGCTCGGTATGAAATCTGAATAGAATGTTGCGATTACTTTAATGCTATAATCCTCGGTATATTTATAGCTGAATCCAAGGCCCAGACCGTCATAATTGAAAACGCTTTTCCCCCTTATTTCTGACAGTCTGTAATGACCGCTAATGACATGTTTATTTTTGGTATATAAAGTTTTTTCACCGCAAAATGTGGTTAATTTACAAGCTCCCAAAATACAAGCGGTTTGCATCGAAGCAGATAATCCAATGTCAGGGCTACATAGCATATACAATGAATAAATGGTATGAGAATATTAAAAAAAGAGTTTTCATTCAATTAGTCTCATATTCGACATTATTTACTTACACCTCACATTTTCCGAAGACACCGAAGCTTGCGGGTCTGTTATCGGTGTTGCCGGCAAGATAGCAACCCAATCTTAAATGACAATCGTCGAGAAAATGAAAATATTTCGATATTTGCACGCGGAGATCATTCCCTTTACCCGGATTGGATGTATCAACATCGTTAAACTCCATATTTATTTTTTATTTTTTATTTTTTATTTTTTATTTTTTATTTTTTTGTCTATGGTATGACACATTTCAGCATATACATCTTTGAAATGAATTTAATGCTGAAGCGAAAATTCCATATAATTTTCAGCTTTTCTTATGCTTCTTTCTTTCTGTTCCATTTCTTAAATGAAACAGTTTATAGAACTTCATTTTCTGTTTTCTCTTCTACATACATCCTACCTATGCCATGTATTACTGTAATTATTTTCTAGTATTCTTGACATATAGAACATATTTAAAGAGTACTCAGCCTTGTGTCCAAAAAGCTTCTGTATTAACTCCTTTTATAAAACTCTTTTATAGTGTACGAAAAAGATATTGTTAAACAAGAATGGATCCCTCTGTTTCATAACTATGGAGCTTTAGTTTCTTTCCAACTTAGTTTCTACAGAAAGAAAATATTATTCTCTATGATTTTATACCTTAAGAGTAACCCGTAAATAAACAAAGTAACCGATGGCAGAAGGAACAAATTTCTTTGATCCGAACTACAAGTAGTGTGAATGAGATTTTAGAGAAGTTCCCACGTAATGCCTAACTTGCTTTCACAATAAAGATAATGAAGTTAACGTTGAAGGCCCAAATATTTACAAACCTTTTTTTAAAGGCCTTAAAACTCATTCGAAAAAGTCGAAATTTTTTAGAAGAAATTTAAAGCTCATATTTTTTTCTCTAATAGCAATGATAAGTGAAACAAATTTTAGCCTTTAAATTTCTCGGACGGATCTAATATAAGACCGTATTATTATTATTTAGCTGTGTGTATATATAAAAAAGAGACGTTTGTTTCTACCATCGGGAGCGATTACGATTATATTCGGATTGGTCTTCGAATAAACGTAAAGATTACGAAAAATCCGAGAAGTTGATTAGAGACCAACCTTTGCGAAAAAATCGGATTTATAATGCGATTTATTTTATATTCGGTACAGATGTGGCTTTTCACTTAGGTTATCAAAAAGAGTACCCTACACTTCGGCAAGTGGACCAGCGACTGAACTAATCGAAACAATTTCACTATATTTCCGATTTACTTCAATTCGGTACAGATAACTTAAATCGACAGGAAGATTACCCTCTTTTTCGGAAAGTGCACCAACGACCGAGTTATTCGAAATTATCAGATTTATGCTTCGATTTAATTTCATTGACCAGGGCTCGAACTGTTCGAAATAAATCTCTAAAGCCACTACAATGTGTGGATGCGGACGTCCAGTTATATACTATATAAATATAAATATGTACGTATGAATGATGAACGTCTAAAAACCAAGAAAAAAATCAAAAGAAACAAAGGAAATATAAAACAAAAAACAGTTAGCACGAAGCAAAAGAATAAAGGACATAAAAGTAAGTTAACTCCAAAACCGCTTCGCCAATATATTAAAAAATATATATATACTTCTACATTAAAAAAAAAAAAAAATAAATAAAATAAATAAAAAGTTATGGAACTAGATGGCATTGGCACTTCAAATCCCGGCGGAACAAACAATGTCCGCTTACAAACATTAAAAACATTTGATAAACATAATCTGACCATCGGTGCTTTTCTCTCAGGCAACCACTATCAATATCCATTAGTCTTTGGAATATTCTCGAAATTTCATTGGTAAGTTGAGGAAATGGAAAAACATTGTATTTGGAATATTACAATTTTATTAGTTGATTTTTTTTTTTTTTGTTTTTAAAATTTAGCAAGGGATACACTATATCGACGCAATGTTCAAGAACTCTACACAATTATTTAAACGGACTGTTTGCTGTAGAGAAAATTATGTACAAAAGTGATAAACATGCCGTCGACATCGATGGCATGTTGGCAAGGGCAAAAGAGCCTTACAGTAAGTCACCATTCTATGGCTTCAATCTTGGTATAAATTATAATCATTCACGTGGTCATGGCGTAAGAGTGAGCACTTCTTATATACCTGATGTTAATTGTGTTACCGTTAATACGTCATTCAAGCTTAATATCTGGACGTCGTCCAATAAGGCTACTGCTCTAGATTTCACCTTAAATATATCGCAACATTTAACTGGCATTTTTCGCGGACTTAATTCATACGGTGGCGGTCTTGGTTTTACTCATCACTTTTAGATTTAAAAGTTGTTCTTTTTGTTTTTAATTGAAATATATGTATGTACATATGTACATTTTATGGAAATCGTATGTATTGTACCTTCTAAGAAGAAAGATGATGTTCATTATTCTTAACGTTAATTTTAAATTTTTACCCACACATTATAATTTGTAACAGTAATGTAGTTCAAAATAAAGTTTTACGTACAAAATTTTTAAAGTAAAATCATTATTGAAGATGAACGTAGGTGAATACAAATAATTAACAATTTTTCTAGCAAAGCAAGGTAAACCAAGATATTCTCCCTCACCAGCAAGAGTTCAAAACGTTCCCAACTAAGGTCCATGGCCATTTTGCATTAATCTCGAATAATTTTTAGACAATACCATGGCGAGCAGGAGTGAAGCTTCTAGTGTCTGACCTTCAATCTGCGATTAAGTTCTTTATTGTAGTGTTGGGTATTGATTCTTCGATTAAGTTCTTCACTTTTTACTTACTGGCGAAATCTAATTTTATACTTGTTAGTGCCAAGGTGTTGAGTTCGAAGAAACTATGGAAGTTTCATCTTACAAAAGTTCGTCTCATTAAAACTTCTAAGCAAGTCGACTGATTGTCATTTTCATATGTCAAAGAAATCATAATCTTTATAGCATCTTCTAAAGACTGGTCATTTGAATTACGACATCACGGACCTTTCGTTTAAATATTCGTACTAATTTTAGATTGGATGCTAGAGAGATATAGCCATATATTTCAAGTGCCGTCTCAAAGGCGATAACTTTTTACGAGGTGTTCCGATTTTGACAATTCTTTAATAGCATTTTTTTTTCAACGCAAAATTACACTTGACCACTTAGTCCGATTGGGATAATTTTTCCTTCAATCGATAGGATATACTTCGAATGTTGGTCTCTTTTTTCGAACTCTCCTTCGACCACCTCCTTCAATATGTAGTGTGAGTCTTGATGTTCTTCCAACAAATGGAACAACAACTGCTTACTTTAAGCCGCATCCTAACGGTCGATGGAATTTTGTGACTTGGAGGGCTTGACGTTTCTACAATTTTGAATGTTGGTCGAACCAGGACTGAATTCTGATATTAAGAATGACAGTTAGCAAATCTAAAATGATTTCGGGCAAATGATTGTCTCTGCTGACTCAAATAAATTCCATCCAAGAGGCCCAATTTTGAGAGCTTGTGGCCGTATGTCAGCAATAACACGCATAATATTCTTTTCCAAGGGGTCAGTCATCTTGGGCGAGAAGCGACTTTACAAAACCACTTACGAATAATAGTCCGGCAGTGTTAATTGCACGACCTTGGAAGCCATGCCACAGGTCTAGCACTTGAGATAATGCGCTCACCAAAAGTTTCATTCAGTGTTTGTTGGCTGGATGACAGGTAGCTCACTCTTGTTGGCTCCAAAGGTCGTCTACTACAACATCCTTCAATTCCATTATAACCGACATTTTGGAAATAATATGAACCACTGATTCCCCTTGTGCCTTATGCACACCAAACAGTGGCTTTTTGAGAGCGTAAAAGCGCTTCAATAATAGCTTGTGGATTATCATCACTGAGCATTATCTGCTATAATAAACGTGGTGCGAAGCCGATCCATGGTTGGTGGACGCAGTGCACGTACCGAACCATAATTTTCCTCATAAATTAGCAAACGTTGTTGCGAAGAAAGAATGTTCATTATGAAATGGTAAACCGAACTGAGTATAAATCAAGTAACAGCGGTTGAAGAAGAAAAAAATATTGCCTCATTGAAAACCACACGTCTAAAACGAAATTTTTCCAACCTATTTTTTCGACAATCAAATATGTTCAGATGTTTACTGTTATCTCCAAAGCTTTTTTTCCGTCATCTAACTTTAGCTTTCTGTTTCTTACACCAGGGCTAAAATCCCTGAAAATTTTCAAGCAAATATTATTATTAATGATAACTCGAAACATTTTTTTATACGTAATACTCTCCATAAATTATTTTCATTAAAGAAATGAATTCTTCGTTACTACTTCAAGTAGATATGTATATAAGTACATATGTATGTATTGCCAATAGCAAAAAAAAAATTAGCATAACAAAGCAGTTTACACACCAATAAACGTTTAGACTTGCCATGAATAAGAAAAAAATGGCGAATAAAAATAAACCGCCAAAGTTCGCTGTTTCCGGCAAAAGATAACCGCAACAAGAGAAAATTGTCCGACACGACAAGTTGATTATGACCATAATTACATGACATAAAGATGCGATTATCTGCCACCAAAGAAATGTTAAAAAGGCAAGAAATTTGCATAAGAACTAAGAGGAACACAAAGAGGCTTGGAATACTGGGTAAAGGAAACAAATCTTAAAGAAATGAATTTTACCAAGCAGACAATGTGCTAGCGCTTGGGAAGCTTAAAATTCAATGGAAAAAGCTCAAATATTGGTCCATCTGAACATTAAGCAAGTGCGAATTCTCGATAAGCCACCGTGCTACATACATACATACACACTTTCCATTAGTTTTACCACTTTAAAACTTCATTCGCTGTACAGTAGTTTGAATGATTTGTTGTAAAGGGTGCTTTTTTTTGGACATACAGTTTTGCAATGCGGGAAGTTCGTCTTTTTGAGAGCTTTTACATGATTTATACTCAATTTGCTATACCATTTCATAATGAACAGATTTGTGGCGAAAATAATGATTCGGCGCATCGCGCGCAGCTTAGCAGAGTCGGTAATTCGAGCAACAATAGCTCGGTTTCGCACCACGTTTATTCAAGTGGGTAAAGCACACCTTCAGAGATGCCATACCGTATCGAGCAAGACCCCCGAGCTTACAAAATCCAACTCGCACAAGAATTTCGATGGCCATCGATTCGAAATTTTCACAAAAAATACTTGTTAATAAATAAATTGCTGCATTTGGAGTGATGATGATCCACGAGCTATGATTGAGACGGTGCTTCACTCCCAAAACGTCAGTGTTTGATGTGTTCTATGAGCAAAGGAAATCATTGATCCATAATTCTCAAATAATGAAGCCAGACATAATGTTACCGTCAATGGGGAACGCTATAGGGGAGTTATGTGAAGTCACTGGTCTACGCAGATAGGCACGAGTCGATTGAAACTTTGAAGAAAATATTCGACGCGTCTCTGGACTGGAATTCATTTTTAATATATAAATTTTAAAACTTAATGACAAAGATTATCTTTATAACAAAGATTTGCTCTTGGCCAAGACATAGAATTATATGCGTTTCATTTATTTTGGAAACCACATGTCTTAGAAAAAACACCCTTTATATAAATTTACCATTTTTTAACTCTCACTGAGCTCAGAGCATTATTGACTCTAAAGATTGCGCGCAAAAAGGTAAATAAAATAACATTCTAAATTCCACCAATCAAGCAAAAAGGTGTGTTGGATTAGTTTGAGATTACGCCAGCTGACATGACATTCACGAAAAGGTAGTATGATTAAGTTATACGGACTTCCAAGCAAGTCAAGAGCGCTCACAACTTTTACAATCAAAACTGTTTATTTTGCACACCTTAAAGTGATGAGTAATTTTTCATGGCTTAACATCTACAATATAATCAAACTCACCTCAACGCTGGAGTCAGCGCAGCTTTTCAGCTTTTGCCAGCAACCACTAAGCAATAAATTATATGGTATTTTCGTTTAGTTGAAAGCTGGATGATATTGCTATTGTGGGTAGGTCGTGTGAGGGAGAGGCAGTCAGTCAACTCAAGCAAATATTGGCGTTAGAAATCCTTCGCATAAAATTAATAACGTCGATGAATTTTCATGATGCGCATTATTATTGCCAAATTATACACCTTGAGCCGCATATACATACGTACATATCTATGTATATAGGTGAATACACCCATGGAAATATGCAAAATATAGCTGAGGTGTTCTAGCAGCAGTAATATATAATATTTCATGCTGTTAACCGTTCCATATGTCCATTCTCCAAGTGACTTGCTTTAAATACAAGGACATCAGCATTTTTTTCCCCGCTTTCTATGCACATCTTTATTACAGCTCTCGTTCCTTTCTATCCATTTTTCTTTTGACATGTAGTTACAATTTTTATGCAAAGCAATTTATTTTGAATTATTTTTATGGCACTTAACGTATCCGATGCGTAAGCATATTATGATGCAGAGGCCAATTTGGGGAACGCGATGTTGAGACAGACTCCTCATGAAAAAATAAAATTAGCTTAATACATGTACATAGCTACTTATGTAAGAATATAAGCACGCATCACTATGTAAACCTAGCAGCAAGGATATGCCTAGCGGGTTGGAATTTTGTTTTGAATATTATTTAACTAGTCAAATTCATTTTATTATATGTCAAGCTTCTCCTCCAATTTTACTGTGGGCCTCCACCTAGGCACATCAGAAAGGGAGTACTAGATCTAAAGGACACAATCCAGCAACATGTGCAACAACCGCTGGACAGGACGGTGTACAGACAAGCACTGAACGCCATTCACCAGGAATCAGTCAACACCTTCAAAGACTCCCTTCCAGTGAATGACGTGCTCGGAGTAACATCACCACCCATAGCAGACAACGAGCTCGAGCTGCCTCGAGAGACTCACGTAACTTTGGCACAACTTAGGTCTGGATACTGTAGTAGCTTAAACTCCAACTTATCCCTAGAATATTCAACGTGTGCCCCGCATGTGGAGAGTCTATGCACGACACCAACCATCCTTTCACATGCCCCCTTAAACTGACTGATCTAACCCCCCTTTTCCTTTGGTCCAAATCCGTCGAAAGGGCTCGCTTCCTGGACCCCCCATTAGATGATCTCGGCGACTTAGAATAATCAAACCTGAACTTAAGCGGGGTTAGCGAACCGCTACAACAGCAACAACAAAATTTTACTGTGTGACCTAAACTTTATTTTAAGCTGCTTTCGAACAGCCGCTGTATTTTTTTGAGAAGCTTTGGTTTTCCAAAATATTTCCTTATAGTATTTTTAATAGTGTGTGAGTGTGGTATATGCTGAAAACGTAGTCATTTGTTGTTGTTAAGCTGAATCGACCATAAAAAACTTCGTGTTACCTTGACAATCGACTGGCGATTATTTATTTATGTGCGATAAACAAAGTTCATACGTGTATTTTTAATCTCAAACAAAAACAATTTCAATTTCAATTTCTGTTTTTCAATTAACCTTATAATGAATTTTTCACAAGTCGAATTTCCGTGTACTCTTCCCTTGAACACTTTTAAAGCTAACCTTAGTGCTAGCGACATAATACTTCCCCGGCGACTGCACGACAAGTCGCTGGCAGTCAGTAATGACCAGCATAATATTGTAGATAACGACGGCAGGCAACATCAGCAGCGACCAAATCAGCCGGAATCACTGCGTCATTTGGCACTCGATGCCATCATTGCCAATTGGAATGGTAATAATTTCATTATTTCATTACGAATAACATACAAGCAGCATACATATTTAAATCAAAATATATATCACTTACATATACACGTGTATGTATGCGTGTGCACTTCCTGCCAGACAATCCCATCTTCGAGGAGTTAACACGACAGGAGGATCGCAACTACATACTTGCCCACCTGGATACACAATTGCCGCTTGAATTGCTCAGCGAACGCATACGTGACGATTTCTTTTGGCGCCGTTGTTGTCAGCAACGTTGGAAGGCACACCACCACTCGAATTGCCTGTCACAGACGCAGCCATGGATTAGCATTTACATGCAGCGACATCTGCAGGAGTTCATCGAATGCGTGGAGACGTGCGATTATGAACAGGAGCAAACACAGACGATATTGGACATTTGTGCGCCATATGTAAATCAATTGGAGATAAAATGTTTGAAACCGGCGGCCGATGGACGCAATGGTGAGTGGGAAGAAAGGGAGAATTGAAGGGTGTGTATTAATATGCGTATAAATGTCGTGTAACGTCTTGCTATTGTCTTAACAATACAGATCACATTCCACTTGATTTCATATTGAGCAACCTGCCTGAACTCCAAACGCTACGCTTGAGTTACGCCACCAAGACGGTGGGCAGTAACTTTTGTCTCGGCAGCAATACACTCTCACAGAAAGACATAATAACGTTGTCACGTGGCCTGAGTCAGTGTCATGAATTGGTCGTATTCTGGTAAGAGTTTAAATTTATATATTTTTCAACGAAATTTAGTCTTTTCTACTGAATTTTCAGTATTCTTATCGTTACCTATAATTCGAATTTTAGAAGAGAAAAGCGTCTCCTTTTTGATTTTTGACCAAGTTATTTACCTAGTTTTAGATTTTTCCGCTCAAGAAACTCATATTTACAAGTAGAAAATAAACAACCAGTGGTAAAAATGTGTTGAATTTGATAATTGCGAAGGAGCGTTTTTATGCTGAGGGTTGTAGGGTGGTGATTGAGTTCAGTAGGATCGCAACGTGTTGAGTGACTCATAATTATTAAAAATACATTTAATGTTATAGCTAATGTCAACCAAGCAAAATAATCGGAAGTGAAAAATTAATTATGGAAAAGTCGCATATTATGCCGTTATAAAGCTCCTTGCCAACCAAGGAAGAACACTTGTGGCCATAATTAATGAGATGTCTCTGATTTACGGCGACTCTTGTCCTGGAAAAACAATGATGTACAAGTGCCACAGTTAATTTAAACAAGGATGGAAATCCTGTTAAAGACGACCCGAGGCCGGGCAAGAGCATCGAGGTGGCCATGCAAAAAATTATCCAAAAAGATGTAATTGTCCTCGACTCTCTTCGAGTAGAGATAAATTAAATCGCAGAAATGGTTGGAGTATCAGATAAAACCACCTTCAAAATACTACACGATTATCTTGCCATAGGCAAGATGTATGTCGATAATCCTCACGCTTACGCAAGAACAACAGCCGCATTGTGTTGTCGTCCTTTCATAAAGTGGGCTTCGATATTTTTAATCTCCCACCCTACAGCTCAAACCTGGGCTCGTACTGTACTTAAACACGAAAAAAGTTGGCGGGTATACAAATCGTCACATTTGATGAAGTCAAGGAGTCAATTATCGCGTACTTTTAAAGTAAAGACAAAAAAGACCTCAATAATGTCTACGTCACCTGCAAATGTAATGAAAAGTAAAAATAATTTTTTTTTTTATTTAGGCCAGTTGACCGCCACTCCATGAACACAAAAACGCTCCCACGTATTATTTATTTTAATTAATTAAATCGGCTTAAAGTATTTGTTCTTCCCAAATAATACTGTTTTGCAATGGAATCAACTTCATTTCCCAGGGCGAATTCCTGTATGTCTCCTACCGACTTTAAAACGGGCGCCTCGAAGTGAAAATGAGTTTTGGAAAGATAGAAACTGGGACGGATCAAGTCTGATCTTTTAAGAACAATTCACTCCCTCAATTGCATAAACTCAGATATTTACTGTCTGAACTGCTGGCAAGATTATAAAAGAAAACAATCAACAGAATGTGTTTTTTTCTGCAGCTATTTGCAATTGCAATATGTAAGATAGTGGGGATGCCGTGAAATGAAGGAACTCTTTCAAGTCTACAAAAATCGGTATGACAAATAGGATTCCTATTAAGCTAGCATTCTCCTGTTTTGAACGAACCAAAAAATTAATAGGACTTTTCGTGTGTATCTTTGAAATCACCACCATATCGCAGTAAGAAAGCAAGAAATCGAACAATCCCCTTAAACAATACGCCAAGATCTAGGAGATCAATGGCAGAAGGAGTATATTATTAAGAAGATAATAAGCCGACTTGAGCACCTTGTGAACTTGGAAAGGTAATATTAAAACACTTTTTGATATTCAGTTGCAAACTGTTCTTAATGCTCCAGTTAGCTAGAATGTTAAGATTCTCCTGTAACAGTAAATCATCGGATAGCATATATCTATCTATCAAAAATTTTTATTTTCCAAAACAAGTTCCAACATTATTTGTAAAAAGAAAATAATAAAATGGCAGAAAGCTGCCTATAGGTAACCCGGAAGTGACAACAAATGTTTATGAACTCGTAATCTCTATTTAAACAAAACAGAATCTATTAGAGAGATATGACCTAACATAGAATAGGAAAAAAGAGTGTATATCTAGCCACTCAAGCTTACGTAACGAAATACTTTTCGTCGCGGTACAAAAAGCTTTAGAGAAATCAGTGTAGACGACACCAACTTGGTCTTCCTTCTTAAATGATGAAACAGGAAGGCAAGGTATTTGATAGTTGAACGATCGATAGCATGATAAGGAATGGTAGGTGAATTGGAGAGAGTTGACCTGTGCGGGGTCATGCTCTCCTCTTCTTGAGCCGTGGCACGCAAACCACGAACGTTGATATTTCCCGAGTCGCTGAAAAAAATTCAGTCAGCAGGCAAAATACCGACACAATTCAGGCGATAAAATTCATTGCGCTTCTCACGTACCGATTTGCTTTGAGCACGATCAACTTTATTACCGCGAAACCACAGCACAATCAAGAGTAAATTGTCTCTTGATTTATGATTAGTAAGTAAGAGCCACTGTCTCAAGGGCAATATTTAGAAATACTACAATATTTAGAGTTTAACATAATATAATATAATGCACAGAGAGCTGAGCAAAACACGACCGCACTCGAAGGTAGCTCCTTTGTTTATGTATTTTCCAGCCTTTAAGTGGGATTTTTAACTGATTAAATCCTGTTACTTTTTTAACAGAAAATCCATACATATATACTTATAATGATACATGTATTATATATCGTTCTTTTTATATAACGTTTCTTGATCTAGCCTTCATAGCACCAAACTCGCATCTTATCAACTGTCATTTCTAGCGCGTGCCTTGGACAAAGGTTGCCACAAGTTAACAACACTATCCATCACTCACTGCGCAATGCGTGATGCTGGGATTAAAGAATTTTTAAGTGCTTGTAATAAGGAATCATTTAACACACTTGAGGTACTAGATTTGACAGATAACAGAATTAGTAAGTATATTTGGTAGCTCCGTCACCTATTTTAATATATAAAAAATAAACATCGACAGCTTCAGAGGGCGCCTACATACTCAGTCGTACGATTAAGGGGCTTTCGCTGCGCAAGCTCATATTACGTATGAATCCGATAGAAAGCGATGGTGTTGCGGCAATATTTTCACTTTTACGCGATTTGCCCATAGAAACTTTGGATATTAGTTGTTGTTCCATTTCCCCGACAATAACAAAACTCTTCATGCAGCTAATTATACAAAATAAATTCTTAGTCAGCGTCGATATATCAAATAATAATTTGGGCGAGGTAATTGGAAAATAACACTCATAAATGCTTACAATGTAAATAAAAAGTCTTCGCGGTAATTTTTGTAGATTTTTCCCTATTGAAATTTAATTTTAATCAAACACATATTGTACATCATTATCTACGACCTATTGGTTTTGGTGGCTTTTTTTCAGGTAGCTTCATAATTTCACCAGTGTAGAACTGGTTTATGGCGTCATGCCGAAGAAGACTCTGATAAATTATTGACCGTAGAACTCAGAATTAATGCTTTCCCTAGATTGTAACAGCTCATATTGAACAATCATCATTCCATCTTAATGGACTCCTCCATTCCATTACATCCTAATGGACAATGCCATTCCATTCCTGATTTAGACTTATTTCATTTCATATTCCCATATTTCACCCATTTTTAATCGTCTGTGATGAGCAGAAATATATAGCTCGATTTTGCCACTTTCAGAAGCGCTTCGCTGATGGTGATTCATTTGAGCGCCAGGCGTTTTTAAATAATTACAATTGTCACATGATTGATGCCTAATGCCTACCCTTTTTATCTTAGAGCTTAAAAGCCGGTCTTGTTCCACCGAATCCAAAATCTCATCGACATTTTGATTGACTGGCCTTACACAAAAATTTCTGTTTAGTGTAGCACGAAATTAGTATCAGACAACTTAGTAACAGAGACTTTTTATTTTTCTAAGAAAACGTTTGGTCTTTCAATATTGAAAATCCTTTTTAATTTAGGAATTTGGTATGCAGCTCTTTAAAATTATTGGTTTCAATAAAGTCTTGCATCATTTGGACTTGCGCAATACCGGATTGAAGCTGGATTTGAGAAATAAAATGAGAGATATTCTGAAGGGTAACAAAGCGAAAAATGAGACATATTTCAAAGCAATATTGGAGAAGTATTCCAAAAAAGATATGAATTAACTTGTTTTTGGTTTCAAAAATATATGTATGTATTTTAGAAAATAAGAATATTTGTAATCATGAGCAAAAAAAAAATAAATAATTAAACAACAACGCCTTTTTTCGAATATCTTACCACTGTTGAAAGGAATCAGTAATAGCTTACGTTAATGATTGAAAGGTTTTTCGGAAAGACTTGACTGTTGTTACTTATTGATGGCCACATAAACGTAAGAACATAATCTGCTTCGATGGTATTTTCGATTTACTATGCACTGAATTATTTTACTGTAAAAGATGCTAGTCTTTGAGTAAAGAAATCCCAACTACTACACATTTATCTCATCTACATCCTGTGCCATGCTTTAGTTGCCTTATAAATACGTTTAATGTTATTTCTCATTAAGTGCTTAGCCATCTCAACCTTTTTAGTTGCCGAAAGGAGCATATTTAATACGTCCAATGCTGTAAAGTCAAAGCTTGCGACCTTTCGTGCCTTAATTTTTAATCTCAAAATTTGTATGAAATTTTTTTCGAAGCCATAACTGTACACCTAACACTTTCGCCGACGACATTCTATTCTAATTAGATTTCGTCACACTTTTAACCCTCTTAAAGCCATTAACAAAGAAAAACAACATTTTCCTCTCAAAGGTCATTTCGTGAAAAAAGGAGAAAAAAAAAAGAAACTGTTTATTAAAACAGCGAATAGAAGTAAAAAAAAAGTTAAAAAAAGAAACGTAAAAAAAAGTTTCTAGAAACAAAACAAACAAAAAGTGCTAAGAATAACAAAACATCAGAAACTTTTTGCTGAAGTGGACAAACGCTTTTACTTAACACAGCTACTTACCTAATATGGGAATGTGCTTTTGTGGAAGGAGTTGTTGGCACTCAAGCACTGCTGTGTACATACACCTTAAAAGGGATCTTTGAATGAATGCTTATGGAGGTGTGTACGAGTATGTAAGAGGATTCGAGAGAAATGTACAGGGCTAAGATGGAAGGAAGGAAGTTTAATAGCAACAACTAATCAATATGTACATTTTTTTTTGCATAAATACTTTATATGTGTATGTATGTACATAGATGGTGGATTTACAGCAATATTGTCTGCTTCCCTACAGCTGCTTAACGATGCTTATACAAATTACTGTAGGGATTTGAACTTTTGCCATCAGTTTTAATTGTACTTGCTGTAGTAAGAAAATGTAAAAAAATAGCAAGAAAAATTTTAAAAGCAAAAAAGAATTTGTTTGTCAATCAAAAATAAAATTAATTTTTTTAATTTAATTAAATAATTTAAACGAATAATAAATAAATTAAACCAGAATAAAAACATATAATAAAATAAATTAAAATATTTAAAATTTAAGAATTATTTTTCCTGTCAAAAATAGGTTTTTTTTTATTAAATTAAATGATTTAATAGAAAAATAAATAAATTTAACCGTAATATAAACATATAATAAATTTAGATAAAATAAATTGCAATAAATTAGCAAAAACTAAAATAAAACAAAACAAACAAAAAATAAAACAAAACAAACAAAAAATAAAACAAAATAAAATAATATAAAATAAAATAAAATAAAATAAAATAAAATAAAATAAAATAAAATAAAATAATATAAAATAAAATAAATTAAATTAAAGCAACATAAAGCAAAGTTAAATAAAATTAATTAAAATTAAATTAAAATTATATGAAATAAAAGATTCTTTCTATAAACTGATTAGTGCATTAGCTGCTAGAACCAAAAGTCCTCCTCATTAATATTCTTATCCTTGGGCCCAAAGTCCTCAAAGCAAGATTCTCCCAAAAAATCCTCCATAAAGTAGATGAGCATAGCTTACTCTGATCTACAGCAGCAATAGTGTCTTAGGTGCGCACTGAACGATGTCTTTGATCAATGTCCTCTAGAGAAAACATGGTGCGAAACCGCTCTGGTCTCAACATTGTGAGTGAAAATCAAGTAACAGCTGTTAATAAGACCAACTCCGAAAAAAATATAGTCTCTTTGAAAACCTCTAAATGAACACCCTTCAAAATACCAAATGTCATGCTTTTTTAGCAAATTTTGAACATAAAACTTCAGATCTGAACAAAACCTTTGTTAGCCTACATTATGTGATACAGTTTTCTGTACCAATGTGTGAGTCATTCAAATCTGAAAAGTCAGTCGTATCTATGTATTAAGTTTGAAAATTTCTCAAAAACTGAGGGACTAGTTTGCATAGAAGCAGACGGAGAAACGGACATGTCTAAATCAACTCCACTCGTCATTCTGAACCGTTCGGTATAAATTTTGACGAATCTATTTCTTACATATTTCGGACCATTTCATTAGCAGCCATTAGATACACGTAACCGATAGAGTGGTCTCCATTGAGTTAAAACCCATCCAGCAGAAGCTCACTGCCGTTGTTATTTACAAACTTAGCTTTGAAGAAATTTTGAAAAAGAGCATGCAGCTCCAGTCAGAGCGAATTATTTTGTATGAAAAGTTGATTTGAAATTTTTATCGATTTTAATTATTATTTCTATCTTTCAACGCATTTTGCGTTCTCATAATTTTTTCATATAAATTTTTCTCATCCTTCATGAATTTTCCAACACATCTGATGAATGAAAAAATGTCCGCGTATGCTATTTTTCAATTAAAATCAAATTGTTTTCTTGTCTGGTTTGGTCTAGAGCGTTGTTTTTCTTTCACTTGCGACTTTTGTTTATTTAGGATGTTCGCAACAATAGATACTTTTGAAATGTTTATGTGGCGAAAAAGTGCTAAATATGTACATATGTCTGTATGGCATGTTCATATGTTTATATCTATAAATGTGTGCTCATGTCAAACACATTACAACAAGTATACATTAGTCTCCGAAGTAAAAACGTAAAAGTGTTAAATTGAATTTAAAATAAAACATACAAAAATAATAGACAAAATCAACATTTCGCCAGCAGTGGTTCTCAAAATAAATAATATATAAAATGTGTATGTGCGATTTGGAGCAAATATCATACCACAACCCATAGTAGTATTTACAAGGAATAGTTTCCTTTCTATAGGTATGTATGTATGCATGTAGAGTATGCGAATCAACTTCCTTATGTCTGTCAGCGCTCGCACTCGTTCAGTTGCTTGAGCATTGGTTGGGGCTGTGGCTGGCTGGATATTTAGCACCACATAAATCTTTTACGGATTCGCAATGTGATTTATGTCGATGTAAAGTTTTTTGCACAAAAATATACAAAAATATGCAAATGTATGTCCAAACACCCTGCGAGTATGTACAATGCATACCTCACTTGTTAAGATGATGAAGAATTAATGGCAAGCTGTAATTCAACAAAATGAGTTACTTTGAGTTTGATGGTCGTTCCTCAACCCAGTTTCACTCCTTTCAAAATACTTCTTATATACAAAATTTTCAAAAAATCTGCCACTGTTGCAAATACGCTGAGCAATAATTACTATAATTTATGCCATTTAAGTTAATTGATATTTTTCGACAAGCGTGGCACCAACGTACATGCATAATACAAAAGCTCACCATCTGCTCAAAACCCGCAAGTAAAATGCAATTAAAAGCAGAATCCCAAAACTGTCTTAGACGATGCTACCAATACGAGCGGATGTTCTTTAGACTTGTCTAATGTGCCTCGACGGCGACATCTTGCCTTTTAGCTAAAAAAGTTATGATTTTTATTTATGATTCGTATTTAGATTTTAACCATTCCATTCCGCAAGCTTATTGCCAAAGGGTTAAGCTCATTTAATGGCTAGGAAAAGTTTTAGCAAAAAAAAAAGTAGAATGAAATACAATAACAAATAACGAGCGCGCCACGAAACTTTTCAAATTAAATTAAAAATTGTTGATGACTCAAGCACTTTGGCTGATTTGATGTGGAAAATGAAAAGGAGGGTCCCAAAAATGTCGCTATTATTAAATGTCAATAAATCAACAAATTTTTAAAATGATAAGGGTTTGTAAAATAACGATTGAAAATAAAAATAATTCTTTTTTTTTTTTCAATACAAATCGCTTTATCAAATCATTAATATGAAATTAAATGCGTAAGAAATTTGACTCACCGAGAAAATTTAAATGTTTTTAGTTAAATTTACTCTACTTTGGCCTGCAACATTTGTTTTAATTTTTCATTTTTAATAAAAGAAATACACTATACATGTGTATCGAATAACTCTGCTTTATGAGAAACTACTGCTCCAAACAGAAAGTTTTCAGAGCGGAGTATACTGATGTATGAGCTAAAGAGGTGATGTGACGACAAAGATAGTGAACTCGAACAAAGTTCCATTCGATGGTGATGAAGTAGACGCTTGATCATCCGACTATGTCGAAATCGAATAGCTGTCGACCGCCTGGAATAGCAATAAAGTGACGGAAACTTATAACTATCGGCTGAGCTATACTCGTGTGGCTAAATGGTGGTGAAGAGCTGACAAAGTGCATGTATCAGCTGCTTTGAAAAGTATAGTGCATAAGGCAAGTATGATCTACGCAATCTAAAAAAGTACAACAATCTCCGCAAAGTATCGTGGGGTAAGTCTACTGTATGCTGCATATAAGGTCCTATCATTTACGTGATCTCAAAGATTAAAGTTTACTTCATGGAAGGAACGTATCGGACCTTATCAGGAAAAAATTGTGAGGAAAGGTTCAACAAACACACCTTTTAATTTAAAAGCAGCCTTCGAAAGAACGGGGATGGGCTGCCTCTACGTCACTAAGTCTGAATTTGACTTTTCCGGTAGGTGTTCCACCTCAAAACTGAAGCTTTTATTTGAAATGGCCCCGCAAAGTCGACTCTCGTTGTAGAAAATGGCAGTGAGAATGTGCAACGCTCAGGGAGTAGAGCGGCCATGATTTGCGTGCGTTTCTTTTGCTTGTAAAGCGTACATGCCTTGCATTGACAAATGCACTTTTTAATCAGAGGATAGAGCATCGCAATGAAGAGCTCTCGTCTGATTATTTGAAGCATCAAACGTGTCTCT